ATCATCATTATCATCATCAGCAACATCACCATCATACGTTTGATTCCAGCGTTGTTATTCGATGTTGGCCTCTGGGGGCCGTTTCTGGGTCTTGGGGTTATCAAAATGGATCAGGGATGAGAAATTGCTTTTGGGGAAGGAAGGGGGCGGGATTCCGGGGCCGCACGTCAGGGGCAGCGATAGGGGAGGATAGGCATAGGGGGTACGCATCGACCCCCAATCGCCCATTGATCGCCGATAAGGGCCCGATAGGCCCAATCTGCTCAAGAAGGTGTTTTTTCATTATCGCAGGCCTATCGCCGATCTATCAGCGATGTATCGCCGATTCCAGGTCGATGCATCCCCCATATGCCAGTCCCCCCCTTTCGTTGCTGCCCCTCAGCACATCGAAGAAGAAGCACATTGGGAAAAACGGCGGGGGACTGGACGGAGCCCTTATAACATCGACTGTTTGGAGCGTTCGCCAGCCTGCCGGCGAACGCCCAGGTGCTTCTGGCCTTGGCGCCGCGTCGGTGCAAGCAGCAGGCCAGAACGGCAGCACCCATGCTCCGCGACAGGGCCTCCGCTGCGGACCTCGCCGGGCCCCGCGGGCCTCGCGCCTGTGCGGCCCGCGGGGGGTGTTTAGCACACTGCTCGTCGCCCACGGGACTTCGAGCCGCCACCCGCGGCCGCTTCGTGCCCGTGCCTCGTTCGGGCGCACGCCAACACGCGCGCGTTGGCGCCAGATCCGCGGCTCGGGGAAGGCACCCCCGAGACAAGAGACCAGCGCCGCCTGACTCGGCGACGGAGCGTGCAGATCCTGTGCGGAAGCGGGGCCCGTCGCTCCACGCGTCGCCGATCCTTGGTCTGCACTCCGTCCATGTCAGATCGGTCGTTTTGCAGAGCGCTCGCCCAGGCGCACTTGGCCGCGGCACCGTGGCAAGGAAAGCGGCAGGCCAGGATGGCGACTGCCTTCGCCGGGCCCCGCAGGTCTCTCGCAGGCGACCCTGGGGGCGGTGCCGGGCGGGCCGCGCCCCGCCCGCAGGGGCTTTTGCGCCGCCGCCCGCGGCCGTCGTGTGCTCGTGCCGCGCGGCCCCTCCGCACGGGAGTCTGCCGGAGCCCGGGGCCGCCTGCACCGCGCTCGAAGTGCTGGACGCCCTGAGCGCGGTTCCCGCCGTTGCCCCTCCTGCGCGGCCCCCCCCGCCTGGTTGTGCATCGGGTCTCGGCGCAGGAGCAAAAAAAAAACATCGGCCGCGCCCCAGCTGTTGCCGTCCGACGCGCGGTGTCTGCACGTCGCCGCCGGCAAGCCAGTGCGCGCCGCATAAAAGACTCGGGGGCGCCGGACCGGTGCGGTGACCACACCGTGTGGTGAGTCAGTGGGGATTCGGGGTGACCGAACGGTTTCGGGATGTCGGTCGTTCTCCGAGGGTGTCTCGGGCAACAGGTGCCTCGAGGGTCCCAGAGCCGTGCGGCGACGGACTGCGCGATGAGGTCCTGGGAGATCCCGAGGTCGCCGCACGGTCTGTCACCGCACCGTGTTGGGACCGCCAACAGAAACGGAAGCCCGCGGTCAAGAGCGGGCGCGAAGAAGTACCCGGTTGTGCCGCTGCGCACGTTCCACCACCTGCGCTGATGGAAAGCAGCGCAGCGGCAGCGCCGCACCAGACGGCAGCGCGGCGGTTGCATTGTGTTCGCGGCGCCTGCTTGGGGAGGGCCCTGTCAGAGCTACGGGGGTTTGGGCTCCTCCTCGGAAACGCGCTGAGGCCTTCGGGGGCAGTCTCGGGGATCTAGCCGCTGGGAGTCCCTGAGTTCCTGGCGTCGCAATTTAGTCACACCGGGCGTCGTCGCCAAAGGTTCAGGTCACAGGGCTCCCTCGAAGGTCGATCCAGGTCGGAGGAAATGCCGCAGAGAGGTAGGTTCTAGGGATGTGGTCGTGATTGTCCACGATGTTGCATTTACCTTGGATCTCAGTGGGGTCGTGGGCAGTCTTAGGTCACGCCCAGGCTGGAACAGGGGGGTTAGTCGTGTTGTTTTGGTTCGAAAGCGCTGATCTCATGTGTCCTGATCTCTGTACACGGTCAGCTCACCCATCGCCATCACTACCGCTTGCAACAGCGCGGGCTGAAGCGTGGGCGGGCTCTGAGCATCAGCAAGAGCTGTTTGTCAGTGGCAGTGTGGCACACGAAGCGCCGAGCAGCAACAGTTGGGACGCGGCAGAGGTAATTGCGCACCGATACGGATGGAAAAGTAGGAGAGCGTGCGGCATCAACAAGAACACGGAGGTGTACATCTGCAGGCACCAACACGCATACTCTACAGTGGGGGCGCGCATCAAGAAGCCATATGCTTTTCGTCAGGGTATCCTGGGTTTCTTCGCTCCGCGCGCTGCGCGGCGACTTCCCGCGGCCGTTGAAGAAGCTGATGCGTTCAGGGTGTTCCGGGATTCCCCTCGGGTGCACCCCGCGCGCGGGCTTTCAGGGTTGGGTTTCTTGCGAGGGTTTCTTGCGGCCGCGCCCGCACTGCACACTCCGCACGTGCGTGCTTGCTTGGCGGCAGGGAGCGGCTTTGTCAGCATCTAGCGAGGGCCATCACACACGAGTTGCACTGGAAGCGAATTGATACTTGAGTGTCGGTGCGCATCGAGAGGCGAGGCGCCAGCAGGAACTGGCTGCGACAAGATCCATTGGAGTTAACCGTTCGCGCGGAGCGCACAGTTCCAGGCCGAGTTGCGACACACAAAATACGAGAGGGACATGTGTCCGACAATCCTCCTGGCGAAGGGCCCAACCCTACGGCAGGTTCGCGTCGTGTCGACCAGCGGCGACCCCAGCGCGTGCGTTTGAGTTTGAACGTGGTTGAACGCCGCCCGTGGCCCAGAGTCGGCCTGTCGTTGAGCGATCCGGCGTTAATGGAGCGGCCAAGTTTGAACGATCCCCGCGGTTTCAGGAATACGGGCAGACCAAATTTATACTTGCGTGCCCAAGCAGGAACGACTTCAAATTCGCTCCAGGAATCCCCTCCCACAGAAGCAATGGACGACCACGTTCCGGGATTCGGGGAAGAAGCTGGACGGCCTCGCCAGTTAGATGGCGGTGGGCTCCCTGGGAGCTATCTTCGACACCCCACGGGAGCCCCCCGCAGCCCTCGTGCCGCGGCGGGGTGGAGAGCCAACGGCCGGGGCCGACACGGCGCGGACCTGCCGTGCGCAGCTGCCCTGCAGCGCAGGGCGCGTGGCCGCCAGCTCTTCCTGCGCCGCGCGCCGCGGCGCGGCGCGGCGCGGGGCGGGCCGGCGGAGCAGGCGCGCACAGGCCGGGAGCCTCGAGACGGGGGTCGACGCAAACGGGGGCTCGGCTGCTCTGACACGCACGTTTTGAAGCGTAGCACGTGCCGTGTTCAGAACGCCCGTGTGCAAAACGTGCGCGTGCGTTCAGTCCACGTGTTGAGCTCCGTGTCAGTGCGATGCGTGTTGCGTGTTGCGTGTCGGGGCAGCTAAGAACGGGGGTCAGCCAGAGCGCCGGATCTCGCAGGATCCTACAGGGCCAGGGTCGCGTTGGCCCAGGCTTGGGAGCAGGATCCTGCAGGGTCCTGCAGGATCCTTCGCACTGGCCCGGGCTTGGGTGCAAGCTCTTGCAGATCTTGCAGGGCTCCGCAGGGCCTGACTGACCCGGGCCTGGACTGACCCGGGCCAGGAGATCCCCGAAGAGGCACGCTCGAGCCCCCCCGGTGGGGCACGGCCCTGAGCGGCTGCGGCGTGCCGAGATCGGCGCAGGCCCGCCTGCGAAGGCGCCCACTGGCCTTAGGTCGGGCCCGCCCCTCCACAGGAGGAAAATTCAGAAATAGGCAAAAAAAAAAAAAATAGGGGACGATTTCCCGAGTATTTTTGAATATCTTTGGACTACGCTTGATCTTCCTTCCAAAGTCGCCTGGTGGGGCACTGCCCGAGCGACGGTGGCATGACGAGATCGGCGGAGGCCGCAGGCTCCGTTCTCCAGGGGGGACGGGGAGGCACGATGCGCGTGAGGCTACGCTACGCTGCTCCCGACCGGCCCGAAGGCCGTGCCGATCCAGAACTCGGGGGGGAGCGCTTGGCCCGTGCCTCCGGGAAACCCAGGCATCTGTGCGATCGTCGTGCATGGATTGCTGCTCGGGCAGGCAGGAGCGGGAACAGGGGCAGGAGGGGAGCAGGAGGGGAGCAGGAGGGGAGCAGGAGGGGCGCAGCCGGAGCTCTCCCCCCTCGAGGGGTGCGCCACAGCTGGCAGAGGCGCGCGTGCGACCGCGCCGGCTGGGGCCGCAGCAGGAGCCCCCCGTGGGGCACGATCTCTCTCGGACGTGCGCCGAGGTGGGCAGGGGGGCGCACGCGATCGCGCCCGCTGGGGCCGCAGGAGGAGCTCCTCGTGGGGCACGGTCTCTCTGAGGCCGCAGGTGGCGCTCCCTGTGGGGCACGGTCCGCGCGAGGGGCGCGCCGAAGTAAGCGGGAGGGCGCACGCGATCGCAAGAGCGTGTCGACACACGGGCGGGGGAGCACGTGTGAAAGCTCGCATCGATGCCGCAGGTGGATCTCCCAGAGGGGCACTGTCTGCGCGAGGGGCGTGCCAAAAGGGGCGAGGGGGCGCACGCGAAATCTCCCACTGGGTTCGCAGGTGGAGCTCCCTGCGGGGCACGGTCCGCGTGAGGGTCGTTCCGAAGTGAGCGGGGGAGCACATGGATCTTCCCGCTTGGTCCGTAGGCGGCGCTCCCTGTGGGGCACGGTCCGTGTGAGGGCTGCGCCGCGATGCACGTGCGGGAGCGTTGAGAACAGCGCAGAAGGGCTACGACGGGGAGAGGAGGGCGAGGGAGGAGGAGGACGAGGGAAGGTGGGGCGCGACCCTGCGGACTCAAACCGAGGACCCGATTCCACAGGAGTGTTGGAGAGAAGTGACGCGGAGTGCCCACAGATTCGCTTCCAATAGCGACTACCGAGTGGCACCACCGGCGCGGTGCTCGAAGGTGGACGTTTCGGTGGGCAGCCACGCCGGCCCGAGGAGTGTGCCGCGCTGCAGGGCCGCAAGGAGAGCCTGAAGCGAGACCTCGACGCCCTCGAGAGCCAGGCTGGTCCTCGGGAGGGGACCGCAACTTCCTTTCAGGATTAGATGCGCAGGTCTGCCACAGGGCGGGCGTCGAGCGTGAGCAGATGCCTCGCCTCACAGAGAAGATCTCCCTGCCTGGGCTGGGGTAGGGAACCACGAGCCCATGGCGTGTGCCGTGGACGGGTGAAGAATGTGTCGCTTATCGTGCTCACCAGAAGCTGGAGAGATCATGAGTTGATTATTTCGGGGGTGGATCGACCTCCTACCCTGCCGCGCCGATTAGCGAATTGGCCGTTTCGGTTCGCGAGAGGGCGTCGCGGCCGTCATTTTTGCGGGTCCAGGTCCGTTGGTTCCGGTCCTAGGCCGTTTTCACTTCATGGAGGTCTACTACAGGGAGGTTTTGTCCACCGCCGATTATTGACGGTTCTCGCATCCCCACCAGACCACCCAGAAACGATTATCAGGCGAGTTGTCGAGGAGGGCAGTGGAGGGTCAGAGGCGTGGCGTAGGGAGGGGAGCATTTGTCAGACCGAAGCTGAGGTCAGCCCGAGCATGCCCAACTATGGCAACCTGCGGTAGCATCTCGGAGCCATCTTGGGACTACATCCCCAGGCCGAAAGTTTTTTCCTCTTGGACTAAAATACATCCCCAGGCCGAAAGTTTTATCCTCTTGGATTAAAATATGAGAACACCAACGGATCCAACTGGATCCGTTTTCGGGTGTGGGAGAGTTTCGTGGATCCCATTTCTGTGCTGCGTGGATCAAATTTCCTGCGTGTGACAACAACAAAAAAAGAAAACGATGGATCCATTTATTTCCCGGGAATACATATATAATAATAATTAACACCCGGGACCCAGGGAAATAGGATCCGCGGAGCACCGCAAACGAAGCATCATGCCATCCACGGAGCTGTGGATCTGCAGACCAATGCTATGATTCTACGGGGGAGGGGGGTCTTCCCAGGATGAAGAGGGGAAGGATGAGGGAAGAGGCAAGAAGAGGTGGGAGGAGAACAGAGGGGATCGGCGCGTCGCTTCCGACATGTGGGGCTCAAGAGGAAAATCTTTCGGCCTGCGATAGTGGGATTTCGAACTGCGTCTCCCCCGCCAACACTTCGTGCGAAATCCTTCAGTGGGATTTCGAAGTGCGTCCCCTCCGCCAACACTTTGTGCGAAACCCTGCATCCCCAGGCCGAAAGTTTTTTCCTCTTGGACTAAAAATACATTCCCAGGCCGAAAGTTCTGTCCTCTTGGACGAAATATGAGAACACCAACGGATCCAATTGGATCCGTTGTCGGGTGTGGGAGAGTTTCGTGGATCATATTTTTGTGTTGCGCGGATCAAATTTCTTGCGTGTGGAAAAAAACGATGGATCTATTAATTCCCCGGGAATACATATATAATGATACAAAACACCCGGGACCCAGGGGAAATGGGATCCGCGGAGCACCGCAAGCAAAGCATCATGCCATCTACGGAGCTGTGGATCTGCAGACCAATGCTATGATTCTAAGGGGGAGGGGGGTCTTCCCAGGATGAAGAGGGGAAGGATGAGCGAAGAGGCAAGAAGAGGTGGGAGGAGAACAGAGGGGATCGGCGCGTCGCTTCCGACATGTGGGGCTCAAGAGGAAAATCTTTCGCCCTGCGGAAGTGGGATTCCGAACTGCGTCTCCCCCGCCAACACTTCGTGCGAAATCCTTCAGTGGGATTTCGAAGTGCGTCCCCTCCGCCAACACTTCGTGCGAAACCCTGCATGGGATTTCGAACTGCGTCTCCCCCGCCAACACTTCGTGCAAAATCCTTCAGTGGGATTTCGAAGTGCGTCCCCTCCGCCAACACTTTGTGCGAAACCCTGCATCCCCAGGCCGACAGTCTTTTCCTCTTGGACTAAAAATACATCCCCAGGCCGAAAGTGTTGTCCTCTTGGACGAAAAATATGAGAACACCAACGGATCCAATTGGATCCGTTTTCGGGTGTGGGAGAGTTTCGTGGATCTTACTTCTGTGTTGCGCGGATCCAATTTCCTGCGTGTGAGAAAAAGAAGAAGAAGAAAAAAAAAAAAAAAAAACTATGGGTCCATTTATTTCCCGGGCATAAACATATAATAATTATTAACATCCGGGACCCAGGGGAAATGGGATCCGCGGAGCACCGCAAACGAAGCATCATGCCATCCACGGAGCTGTGGATCTGCAGACCAATGTTATGATTCTACGGGGGAGGGGGGCCTTCCCAGGATGAAGAGGGGAAGGATGAGCGAAGAGGCAAGAGGAGGTGGGAGGAGAATAGAGGGGATCGGCGCGTCGCTTCCGACATGTGAGGATCAAGAGGAGAATGTTTCGGCTTGCGGAAGTGGGATTTCGAACTGCGTCTCCCCCGCCAACACTTCGTGCGAAATCCTTCAGTGGGATTTCGAAGTGCGTCCCCTCCGCCAACACGTTGTGCGAAACCCTGCATGGGATTTCGAACTGCGTCTCCCCCGCCAACACTTCGTGCGAAATCCTTCAGTGGGATTTCGAAGTGCGTCCCCTCCGCCAACACTTTGTGCGAAACCCTGCATGGGATTTCGAACTGCGTCTCCCCCGCCAACACTTCGTGCGAAATCCTTCAGTGGGATTTCGAAGTGCGTCCCCTCCGCCAACACTTTGTGCGAAACCCTGCATCCCCAGGCCGAAAGGATTTTTCCTCTTGGACTAAAATACATCCCCAGGCCGAAAGTTGTTTCCTCTTGGATTAAAAATATGAGAACACCAGCAGATCCAATTGGATCCGTTTTCGGGTGTGGGAGAGTTTCGTGGACCCTATGTCTGTGTTGCGCGGATCCAATTTCCTGCGTGTTCCAATATACATATATATACTAAATAAAAGAAAAAAACATGATGGATCCATTTATTTCCCGAGCATAAACATATAATAATTATTAGCATCCGGGGCCCTGGGGAAATGGGATCCGCGGAGCACCGCAAGCGAAGCATCATGCCATCCACGGAGCTGTGGATCTGCACACCAATGCTATGATTCTACGGGAGAGGGGGGTCTTCCCAGGATGAAGAGGGGAAGGATGAGGGAAGAGGCAAGAGGAGGTGGGAGGAGAACAGAGGGGATCGGCGCGTCGCTTCCGACATGTAGGGATCAAGAGGAAAATCTTTCGGCCTGCGGAAGTATTGGGGCCATCGGGGGAGCATTGGGGGCCATCTGGGGAGTCTCTCGGGGACCTGCCAAGCCCTCGCGTCCTGGGTGCCTTCGGCTCAGAAAAAGCAAGCATTCAACTCACGCATTCCCCATAGGATCTAGAAAGCTGTGTTTGGGAGATCCTATTGAGGGCTGTGTGTCCAGATTGACACACCCCGGCAGAGCCGAGGGCTTGTAAGATGAGGAAGGACCACTCTGTGCTGCAGGGTTCAAGCGTTGCGAGCCCATTTGCAAAAAGCTCTCCGCGAGCACATGGGTCCCGACGTCGACGATGATGGCGCCGAGTCCGCCCAGCAACTGAATCAACAGATGACCGCCAGGCACCCCTGCGATGAATCGACAGGGGGCGTCGGATCGAAGACGCCCACGGCGAATCACCGCCGCCCCCTGCCTTCTTGGAAGCGCCTATGTGGCCAAACGTTGAGGCCAGACCTGCCAAGCTATCGGACCATGTGTTCCCCGAATCGGTTTGGAAAGCCTTCGGGGAACACGTAGGCATCTTGAAGGTCATCTTGGCCGTCTGGAGGCCATTTTGACCCTTTCGGGCCTTCTTGGAGGACGTCTTGGAGGGCTCTTGGACCGTCTTGGAGGCCATCTTGAGCGTCTTGGAGACCTCTTGGGCCGTCTTGGGGACCTCTTGGGGCCGTGTCTTGGGCCTCTTGGGCCTCTTGGGCGATTTTTGGGGGCATTTGGGCCGTCTCGGGCCGTCGGAAGGCAGAAAAAAAGCAAATGCCACAATCCTTCAAAAACCTTCGGGAAATCAATGATTTGGGCCTTTTCGGGCCTTCCTGGAAGCCCTCTTGGAGGCCTCTTGGGCCGTCTTAGGGCCATGTTCGGCCGTCTTGGTGGGCTCCTAGTCCGTCTGACGCCGTCGGAAGCCGTTTGGGGGGCCTCTATGGGCCGACTTGGGGCCCTCTTGGAATGCTCCAGGGCCGTCCCGGGGCCCTCTTGGGCCGTTCTGGGGCCATCTTGGAGGCCTTTTGGGCGATCTTTCCGCGATCTTCGGGGGCTCTTGGGCCGTCTCGGGCCGTCGGAAGGCCGAAAAGAAGCAAATGTCAAAATCCGTCAAAAACCTTAGGAAAATCAATGTGTTGGGCCTCTTCTGGCCTTCCTGGAGGCCCTCTTGGGGGCCTCTTGGGTCGTCTTGGGCCAGCTTCGAGCCAACTTCGGCCATCTTGGTGGGTTCCTGGCACGTCTAACGCCGTCGGGAGTCGTCGTTGGGGCCTTTCTGGGTCTTTGCGCGCTACTCGTCATTCATTGCTCCTCATCGTGCCTCCTCTTGCTTCCTCCTCCTCCACCTCCTGCCTCATACTGCCTCTTCTTTCTCCTCGTGTTCCTCCTCCACCTGCCGTCTCCTCTTCCTGCATCCTCCACCTCCTCCTGAGCATCTGCATCATCACCATCACCATCATCATCAGCAGCATCATCAGCAGCAGCATCAGCGTCATCTCCGTCCTCGCCATGCCTCATCCCGCCTCCGCCTCCTCATCCGCGTGGCTCCTCATTATCTCTCCGTCATCCTCATTCGCCTCCTCGTTCTCCTTCCTCCCTCCCTCCCTCCCTCCTCCTCTTTCTCCTCTTCCTTATCAGCATCAGCAGCAGCATCAACATCAGCATCAGCAGCATCATCATCAGCATCATCAGCATCGTCATCGTCATCGTCGTCATCATCATCATCATCATCAACAGCATCACTAATATCATGCCTGCTCCTCCCGCCTCATGCCCCTCTCCGTAATACAAGCATGGTTGGTAGTATTATTCCTCCTCCCCCTGACAAAAGTGACCATGGCTACAGGTTTTGCATGACTTCCTCGAACCAGGCACGCAAGGTGGTAACACTGCAGAGAGGGGCTCCCGCTCGAGACGTCCCCGCGATTCGCTCACACACGAGGCGTCCGCCCCAGACTCCCTCGAGATTCGGCCACCATAAAGCCCCAGAGCGACGCTGCTCACGGGAGTTGCACGACCCCTCCGGATCAGAAGCAGAAGGTGGCGACCCCGCAGGGAAAGGGGTCCTGCCCGAGGCTTCCCAGCAGGGCGCTCACGGACGAGGCTCCCGCTCGAGACTTCCTCGAGATGCGGGCCTCCGGCGCCCGAAGATGGCGACGGCGACGGCTGCAGGTTTGGAACGGATGGGGAGCGCAAGGTCCGGGCCCCGGAGAGCGGAGCTCCCGCTCGAGACTTCCTCGAGGTTCGGGCCTCTGGAGCCCGAAAGCGACGATGGTTGCAGGTCTCGGGTGGCCCCCTCGGAGTCGAAGCGCAGGGTGCGGATCCCGCTGCGAGGGAGTTCCCGCTCGAGACCTCCTCGAGGTGCAGCCCTCGGGAGCCCCAGAGTGGCAATGGTCTCAGGTTTTGCATGCCCCCCCCTCTGATCAGAAACGCAAGGTGGGGACCCCGCAGCGAGGAGCTCCGGCTCGAGACTTCCTTTTATTTAATCGCTTCGCTCATTCCGCCGGCCCATACGGTCTCATGTCTGCCGTTTGCCCGAGGGCCTGGTGTCAATGCGGCGCTTTGGGGGTTCCTGGGGCAGCTTGGGGGACTCCTGGGGCGCTCGGGGGGGCATTTGGGGGGCCTCCTGGGGCCGCTTGGGGGACTCTTGGGGGGCCTCCTGAGGGCCTCGTGGGGGCCTTTTGGGGCCTCTTAGGGGCCTCTTGGGGCCTCGTAGGGGCTTCTTAGGGCCGAGGGCTCGAAATTTTGTTTCGTGTTCCCTCTCTGGGGCCCCTTTGGGGGTGTTCTTGGGGCCCTCTTGGACCGTCTTGGAGGCTTCTTGGGCCGTCTTCGAGCCCTCTTGGGCCATCTTGGGGCCCTCTTGGGGGCCTCTTGGGCCCTCTTGGGGCGATCTTGGGGGCCTCTGGGGCCGTCTTGGGGCGTCGGGAACCGAAAAGGTGGAAGCTCCAAAATCTTTCAAAAACCTAAGGAAAAACAATGAATTTTGCCTCCGGGGGCCCTCTTGGGAGTGCTCTTGGAGGCCTCTTGGGGCGTCTGGGGGCTATCTTGGGCGTCTTGGAGCGATCTTGTGGCATGTCGGACCCCTCGTGTACCATCTTGGGGGCCTCGTGGGGGCCTCTTGGCATTTCTTGGGGCTCTCGGGGACGTCTCGGAGCCCTGTTGGTGCGCTCATGGAGCGCTCCTGGAGCGCTCTGGGGGACTCCTCTCGGGACTCTCTCAGGACCTTGCCGGGGTACTTTTCGTCCGTGGACCCCCAGGGGCCGCCCCGCGCGCGCGAACTAGAGAATTGTTAACCAGTTACTGGAGATCTTAGCACGCCTCTGGCCCGTTGGGCCGGCGAATATCCAGGCTTCGAAAGCCCAAAAGTGCCCATGGCTAGGAGTTTTGCATGACCCCATCGGGTTAAAAACGCCAGGTGGGGGCCCCGTGGAGAGGGGCTCCCCCTCGAGACTTCCGCTCGAGACGCTCACATACTCAGGCCTTATGAGCCCAAGAGTGACGAATTTTACAGGTTTTGCATGACCCCCTCGGATTAGGTGGGGACCCGTAGATATGGGCTCACTTTCGAGACTTCCTCGCAAGTCGCTCTCGGATGAGGAGCTCGATCTAGACGTCCTCAAGGTTCAGCCCGCATGAGCCCCAGAGTGACGATGCTCACAGGCTTGTACGACCCCCACGGATTAGAAACACAAGGTAGTGACCCCGTAGAGAGGTGTTCCCGCTCGAGGAGTCCTCGCAATTCGCTCATTGGCGAGCCTTCCTGTTCGAGACTTCCTTCAGATTCAGACTTCTGGAGCCCACAAGCGTCAATGGTCACATGTTTCGCATGGGCTCCTCGGGTTAGCATCGCAAGGCGGGGACCCAGTAGAGACGGGGTCCCGCCCGAGACGTCCTCGTAATTCGCTTACAGAACTGGCTCCCGCTCTGAACGTCTTCATGATTCAGGCTTCTGGATCCCCAGAGTGACGATGGCCACAGGTTGTGCTTGACCCCGTCGGATTAGAAGTTCAAGGTGGGGAGCTCGCAGCGAGGGTTTCCCGCCCGAGACATTCTTGCAATTCGTTTGTCGTCGAGACTTCCGCTCGAGAGTGCCCTAAGATTCAGGCTTCCTGAGCCCTAGAAAGACGATGGCCGCATGGTTTGTAAGAGCCCCTCGGATAAGAAGCGCAAGGTGGGACCCCCGTACAGAGGGGCTCCCGCCTTGGGCTCCCTCGCAATTTGCTTACGGACGAGGTTTCCGCGAGCGACTTCCTCAGAACTCAGGCTCTGGGCACCCAGAAGTGACAAAGGTTCTGTGTTTTGTGTGGCCCGTCCGTAGCCATTTTGGCTCGAGGGGCGGCGGCGAGAAAACAGAACAAAAAAAAATGGCGGCGCCCCGCCCCCCCGCGGGGCGCTGATGGTGCGGCGCGGCGGCCCCCGCCGCGGCACGCCGGCATGAGCTGGCTCCCCGCCCTGCCGCCGTGCGGCTGCCTGGGCCGCTGCGGCGTCGAGGGGAGCCCGCGCCGCCTCGCCGGCGCGGAGGGCGGCGCGGAGGAGAGCCTGCGGCCATTGGAGCTGGCCGGCGCGCGGGAGGGCGACAGGTGGGATGCGGACATCGCAAGGATGCAGGAGTCGGGGGTGGACAGAACCCCCAACAGTGACACGTCGATTAGTGAATTGTCTGTTTTCGGTTTTCGAGAGGGCGCCGTGGCTGTTATTTTCCAGGCTTGCGCCCGCCAGGTTTGGGCCTCAGGTCGTTTTCACTAAACCACGTTTTGCTAAAGGGGGGTCTGTCCATCCCCGAAGGAGGGGGTCCGGCTGCTGTTCTCGAACGCCTTCAAGGAGGCAGAGGAGATGTTCTTCGCGGGCTACAGCGAGTCCGCTGTCTCGAGGCGGCTCGAGCCTGGAGAGCACGACTTGAGCGCAGAATTCGCTTTCAATTGGGCGCTGGCGTCAATGATACGTGGCATCATCTCCTTGGAGGACAAGCAGTTCGACGAGTGCTTACAGCGCATCCGCATTGCCAGCGCAGCGGCGCAAAGCGCGCGCGACGCAGGCTGGGTTGGGCACAGCATTATCATAGGATGTTGCTTTGCCCTCGAGGGCGTGATCTTGCTGCTGCAGCGCTCGTTCGTGCGCGGCACGGCCTGCCTGGCGCGCTCTTGGTTTTACCTCTGCAAGGCGGAGCGTCACTGCGACGACGGCTGCGGACTCGCGGACGACCCGCTGGAGCGGCGCGAGGTGTCCGTCGTACGCTCCGTCTCGCTCTTCATGTGCGGCGTGGTGGGGCTCGTCGCCTCGCTCCTCCCCGTGTCCGTCGGGGGAGTAGCGCGCTTCCTCGCCGGGGTGCCGGTGGACCGGGAAGTGGCCGTCCGACGCCTGGAGACCTGCTGTCACGAGCGCGGGCTGCTCGCGCCGTGGTCCTGCGCAGTCGCCCTCGCGTACCACGTCGACATCCGGTACTTTCTCGGCGAGGACATCGGGCCCGACGACGTGCGCAGCTGCCACCAAATGCTCGACTGGGCGGTCGCACGACACCCAGGCTCCATGGTCTTCGGCATGCTGCAGGCCAATCTGGCCAGCTTGCAGCACCGCGGCGACGACGCCATGGCCTGCATAGAGCGCTGCGCCGAGCACTTGCCAGAGGCACCTGGCCTGGAGCTCGTCATCCACGCGCAGCACGCGAAGCTGGCCCTGCTGGCCTGCCGGTGGACAGTGGCCGCGCGGCACTTCGAGGAGGCGGCAGGGGTCAACATGCGCAGGCACAGGAGGTCCACCGTGCCCACCTTGTCCTTCGCCGCAGCGCTGTGCGCGCTCCGCGCCGGCGACGAGCAGGTAGCGCAGAGGTGCCTGGAGCGGGTTCGCGAGTACGAGGCCCTCGAGAAGCGGAGCTGGCCGCCATCCGACAGCCACAGCTTCCGCAGGGCGGCCGCCTACCTCGAGCCGGCGGCGTCGCCCGCGGAGCGGGCGCTGGCCCCGCTGCTGGACCTGCTGGAGCTTCTGGAGCTGAAGCTCCACGCGCTCCGGCGCATGCCCGCGGGCGCCCTCCGCGAGATGCTCCAGGAGCTCTCCGCTCCCGAGCGCTGTGGGGCGCAGGGCGCGTCGCCGGTGGACGCTCGGCGGCTGCGGTGCGCGGCGGAGCTGCAGAGGCTGCTGGGCCACGAGCCCGGGGCCGTGCGGCAGCGGCTGGACGCCGCGTCGGCCGCGGCGCGGGCGTGCGGCTGCGGCGCCGGTGCGGAGGAGGTGGCGCGCGACGCCGTCGAGGCACTAGTTCACTACTCGAGGGCCGAGGTGCACCTCTCCCTGGGCGAGGTGGCAGATGCCCGGGCCTGCTGCCAGGGCATGCACCGGGCTGGGCGCCGCGCGGAGCTCTGGATCAGCATCGCCTTCAAGGCTCACAGCCTCGAGCAGCGCGCGCTGCGGCTTGACACCTCCCGGCGTGGCGGGCCCCTCCAGGCGCAAATGGGCGTCGAGGGCGCCATCGCTGCTGGTAGCCCGGTCACGAAGCGTACGGACGCCCCCGCGTTCTGGCTCTGCTGCCGCCGCCGACGTCAGAAAGCCGAGTGACCTGGCGTCCCGGCGCTCTGCGGCTCGCTGCGGGAGCGAACAACAACAACAACAACAACAACAACAACAACATCAACAACAACAACAACAAGAACAAGAACAACAACAACAACAAGAACAAGAACAACAACAACGACAACGACAACGACAACAACAACGACAACAACAAGCAAAAAAACAAACATTATCCCAGTGCGACCCCACCTAGGAGTTGGAGCCCCCATGGAAGCAGCATTGGTAGTAACACTAAAGTTAAGCTCAAGCTAAACTAAAGCTAAGCTAAAGCTAAGTTAAAGCTAAGCTAGAACTTTGTTAAAGCTAAGCTAAAGATAAGCTAACGCTAAGCTAAAGCTAAGCTAAAGCTACGCTTAATCTAAGATAAAGCTAAGGTACAGCTAAGCTAAAGCGAAGGTACAGCTAAGCTAAAGCTAAGCTACATCTAAGCTAAAGCTAAGCTGCAGCTAAGGTAAAGCTAAGCGAAGGCTAAACGAACGTTAAGCTAAAGCTAAACTATAGATAAGATATAGTTAAGCTAAAGCTAAGGTAAAGCTCAGCTAAAGCTTCGCTGAATCTAAGCTAAAGCGAAGGTACAGCTAAGCTAAAGCTAAGCTACATTTAAGCTAAAGCTAAGCTGCAGCTAAGGTAAAGCTAAGCGAAGGCTAAACGAACGTTAAGCTAAAGCTAAACTATAGATAAAATGTAGTTAAGCTAAAGCTAAGGTAAAGCTCAGCTAAAGCTTCGCTGAATCTAAGCTAAAGCGAAGGTAAAGCTAAGCTAAAGCTAAACTACAGCTAAGATAACGCTAAGCAACAGCTAAGCTAAAGCTAAGCTTAAGCTAAATAATATATACTATACTAAGCTATGCTATGCAATACTGTGCTATGTTATGCTGTGCTATGCTGTGCTATGCTACGCTAAGCTAAGCTACATTAGGCTAAGGTAAACTCTGCTAAGCTAAGCTAAGGTAAGCCACGCTAAGCTAAGCTAAGCTAAGCCGAGCTAAGCTAAGCCAAGCTAAGCTAAGACGAGATAAGCTAAGCCAAGCTAAGGGGGCGCTATGCTATGCTAAGCTATGCTATGCAATACTGTGCTATGGTATGCTGTGCTATGCTATGCCATGCTATGCTAAGCTACGCTAAGATAAGCTACATCAAGCTAAGCTAGGCTAAGCTAAGCTAAGCTAAGGTAAGCCAAGCTAAGCTAAGCTAAGCCAAGCTAAGCTAAGCCAAGCTAAGCTAAGACGAGATAAGTTAAGCCAAGGGGAACCGCGGGGCGGGGACTGGGGGAACCGCCCGGGGCGTGTAGCACTGCCCGGCCCCTTTAAGCTAGAGAGTAAGAACCCTTCTAGGCAGATCCTAGGTAGTGAACAACCACAACAACCACAACAACCACAACAACCACAACAACAACAACGACAACGACAACGACAACGACAACAACAACAACAACAACAACAACAACAACAACAACAGCAACAACAGCAACAACAGCAACAGCAACAGCAACAGCAACAACAGCAACAGCAACAGCAACAACAACAAATACTTCCGCGCGCCGCCATGGCGCCGACGGTGCAGCCGCGGCTGGCAGCGACCCTCCTGGCGATGGTGCCTGGGTCACGCTCTTCGTGCAGCCTTCGCACTTCACCCAGCGGGCACAGCATTTTGCTGGTGGCACTACGAAACTTATAGATTGCTTTAAGTCACTTGCGTACCTCGTCGACCCACCTGGGTGGCTCCGTTGTGAATTCCCTTACTTGCAGTACCTAGTCGGCCCACACTTGGACGGCTCTACTACGCGTGCCCTTGCGTTCCGCGCACTGGGCCTCGTCAGCGCCCGTGGATGCACCGACGCCGCGGCCCAGCCGCTGCCACGGCCCCCGCACCGAGGCTGCCCACACCAGATGGAAGCCTTCCGCCTCTGAGTGCCCCCCCCCTCCTCCCTCCGCCTCCGCGGCCGCCCTGTCTGTTTCAGTTTCTTTTGCACTCTGGGCAATTCGCTGTTCGGTAGCCCCGTTTAACCCGACCGCTGGCGCAGGAACCTCTTCTTCGCCGCTGATGAAAATATTTGGCGCGGCCCCCTCGGGTCAGAGACGTGAGGCGGGGACCCCGTAGAGAGCGGCTCCCGTTCAAGACTTCCTCACAGTTCACTCACAGACGAGGCTCCCGCTATAGATGTCATCCAGGTTCGGGCCTCATGAGCCCCAGAGTGGACATCACAGATGCTGGAGACCTGTAGAGGAGGCATCCCGCCTGGGACTGCCCAGCACTGCGCTCACAGACGGGGCTCCCGTTCGAGGCGCCCTCGAGACGCAGGCCTCGCGAGCCCCAGGGTGACGATGGTCACAGGGTGCTGCACCACCCCTTCGGATTAGAAACAGAACGTGGGGACCTCGAAGAGCACGGTTACCGCTCGAGCAGACGATGCTCCCGCTCGAAAGTGTTTTAAGAGTCAAGCCTCTGGACCCCCGAAAGTAGCGATGGTCACAGGTGCTGTATGACCCCCTCGGACTCGAAACACAAAGTGGGGATACCGTAGACAGGGGCTCCCGTTCGAGACGCCCCCGCAATTCAGTCACAGACTCCCAGCCAACAGCGACGAGGATTACAGGTGCTGTGTTGCGTGACCCCCAGGGATTGGAAACTCAAAGCTGGGACCCCTTAGAAAGGGGCTCCCGCTCGACACTTCCCCGCAAGTTGTTTGCAAACGAGGCCCAGCCCTTATTAGAGACTGCCTAAAGATTAAGGCTTCGCAAGTTAAGAGATGACGATGGCCACAGGGTCTGTAGTGCACCCTCGGACCATAGTGGGGGCCCCGTTTAAAAAAAGGGACTTTCGCTCGACGCCTCTTCGCAAAGTCGTTCGCGGACCAGGTTCCCGCTGGATCGGCGGCGAGCGCAGGGGGGAAATGAGAAGGAGGAGGCCTTCTCAGAAGGCTCGGAAGTCATTGGGCCTTTTTGAGAAGTTCTCCAAATAGTCTTGCCATACGAGGAATTCTAATTCAAACCCTACTAATTGGTCCGTTGCCTCCCCCCTAATTCCGATGCCCCCCTAATTCCTATGGCCCCTGACGCACCTGCTGGGCCGCACTGTCCACTTCGGCACAGTACAGTGGACTGGAGTGCGCGCGTGCGGAAAACAGGATCGTCATCAACACCATCATCACCCACTATTTATTTGGAGTCAACGGTGGCTGACATGTTCTAAGCCTTCCCCGAAAACAAACAAACCAAAAATCAGAAGACGCGAGGGCTCCTGAGAAGTCCCGCCGCCTTCTGCGAAGGCATGATCCTTCTCACTTCCCCCCCTCGCTCGCCGCCAGCTGGAGACTGCCTCAAGATTCAGGCTTCTGGAGCACACGAGCGACGAAGGCCACAGGGTTGGTGTGACTTGCTTCGGATCAACATGAAAGGGGAGGCCAAGTACAGAGGGGCTCCCGCGTGAGACTCCTTCAACACTCAGGACCAATAGTCGGCGGCGAGCGAGAGGGGGAAGTGAGAATGACAAAGTTTTCTCAGAAGGCGACGGGGTTTCTCAGAAACCCTCGCGCCTTCGGAGAAGTTTTCTGTGTCTCTGGGGATGGTTTAGAGAACTGTTCAGAAGGCTGGGGGACTTCCGAGCCTTCTGAGAAGGCCCGCCCCTTTTCACTTCCCCCCGCGCTCGCCGCCAAAATGAGCCCAAGAACGACGAGAATTATGCAAAGGTTCTGCATGATCCCCTCGGCTTAGCAACGCGAAGAAGGGACCTCGTAGCGGGGGGCTCCCGCTCGAGATGTCCCCGCAAGTCGTTCACAGGCGAGGCTCCCGCTCGAGAGTGCCTCATGATTCTGGCCTCTGGAGCACAATAGAGACACATGTAACAGGTTGTGCATGACCCCCTTTCGGACTAGACACGCAAGGCAGGGACCCGTAGAGTGGGGTTCCCGCGCGGACTTCTCCGGCTCGAGACGTCCTCAGGATTCAGGCCCCGTGGGCCCCAGAGTGACGATGGTCACAGGTTTACCGTGACCTCTTCGGATTCGAGAGCCGAGGTTGGCACCCCGCAGAGAGGGGATCCCGCCCGAGACGTCCCCGCATTTCGGTCACAATCGAGGCTCAGGCTCGAGACTTCTTCAAGAGTGAGGCCTCAGGAGCCCCAAGGCGACGACGGTTACAGTTGCAAGGCCTCGGCGCGGCGTCCCCGCAATCACCCCCCCCATCCATCTTCGCAGCACCTGTCCCCCTCGCCCTCCTGATGTTCCCTGCGTCCAACTTCTCATTCCGACAGGTGTCCTCATCATGCTGGGGGGATTAATGTTGAGATGGTCGTTTGGAAGATGGGGCGAGCTTTGGGACGACTTATGGGGCGATTGTGACGGATGTCGGGATGACCGTAAAGACGGCGAGCACGGACGTTGAGATGATCGAGGGGACGTCGAAACGATAGCGGGGATGATTTGGATGCAAGTGGATACAACCGAAAGGACGCAGAGGAGGGATGTCGACAAGACCGCGGGAATGGCGGAGACGCGTGTTGGGATGATCGGGGATATTTGGACTGGTGATGAGTCCTACACATAGCAGTTGTGACGTATGAGTACGTAAAGAGACTATGATTCTACAAGTTTGCTCAATCGATTGTTGGTTTTGATTTGCGTTGAGCACGTAGCCAGTGGCTCGAGGGGTGCATTTCCAACATTAGCGCAACTGGCCGCACGCTTCTGAGCCCACGATGTCCTCGGCCGCATTCCTCACCCCCTGCGAGCACCTCAAGCCCCGGGGGGGGCAGCACCCTAGATTCAAACCCTCCCCTGCGGCACAGGCCCGGCAGCGCCCTGCCGCGCTCCTCGTGGGCGAAGCTGGCGCAGCACCCGGCCCCCGGGCTCCTCCCTGGGCCGCGGCTGCGGCGAGGGCGGCGGGCACTGCGGCCGTGGTGGCGGCGGCGGCCGCGGGCAGGCGCGGCGGGCACCGCAGGAGGCTCCAGGTGGCGCGGCGTGCCACCCACATTCGGGGGCGGCCAAGA